GCAGAACAAGTGACATTCGAACAAAATCTTCTTGCTGTATTTCCATCATTCGAGTTGCCACTTACTTGCCGTGGCTTATCTATGATTAATCCCAGCTTTTCTCGAAAAAGCCTTTACACCGCAGTTTTCTTTTCTTCTTTTGCCCTTTTGTGTACTTCATTTGTAGCAGACCATTTTTAAAAGCAAGGTTATATGATGTGTGCAAAATCATCTCCATGCATCAGCGTGGTTGTTGTTGTCAAAGTTTAAATAGTGGCAAATCAGCTGCACTTGATAGTAGTTGGTTGAATCAGGAAAATGAATTAGCAACAAGAGTTTTCGGGGTGTACATAGCTCAGTGGTTAACGCTTCTGACTTTGAACATCGAATACGCAGGTTCGATCCCTGCTGAAGTCTAGAAAAAAAAGTCTGATGAGGAGATGTGGTGATCTCCGAAATAGCTGCTATAACTTCTACCGCTTAGACTTTGTTGCTTTTTAAATTTTTCCTAATAAAAATAATCGTGGTACAAAGCTCAATAAAAACATTGAAAATACTGTACACTTTATAGTGTACGCAGTGTCATTTCCGCTAGCAACCGCCGCAATACTAATGAACGTAGATAACAAGAAGGGACAACTCGTTATAAGGTGCGTTCGCGTAGCTGTTAATTGTTCAAGTTTAACCAAAACTTACAGGTTTTTGCGTTCGCGTACGCAAAAAACTTGCAAAGTAGGGGAAATTGAGAGAGCAAAGTGACATTTCATTTTGAGGGGAAGCTGTTAGTTTCTGTTGGAAAAATTTTTGCCAACAGCAATTTGCCAACAGGGAAACAGCTGATCAAAAACAGCTGGTTGGCATTTACGCAAATCACAAACTTGAATTTGATGGTTTGGAAGATAAAAATTACAAAATGCGACTAATTAAACTTGTAAGAAATAAGTGGTTATTTGTTTAATCAATAAACTGTGTCAGTATAACACTTTGCCACGACTTTTCGTACGTTTTAAATTTTACACTTTTGTATGTAAACAAAAATTATATCAGCTGTTCGTCTAACTTGCAAGTTTCTGCAAATTTTCTGTTCGCGTACTATTTTGGATATTTCTCTCTTGTGGGAGAACAGATGACATTTCGCCGGAATTTGGCAGTTGGTTGGTTTCTGCTGGAGATTTTAAACGAACGCACCTATAATTGTAGCGAAAGTGCGCAACAGGGGCGTGCCTTCTCTTTTGCCCTAGTGCGTTTTTTGAGTTGTCCCTTCTTGTTATCTACGTTCTTTGGCAATACACACATGCAAAAGCACAAATACAATAACAAAAAATACACGCAAGCCAAAGTGCGAAAAAGATATCAAATACACACCTACAGCCAGTGTTGCCATTTTGGTGCTTCTGGAGCTAGATTTAGCTCTTTATTTTTCTATTTAGCTCTTTATTTTTCTATTTAGCTCCGAAAATCGGGTTTTAGCTCCTAGCTCTTTTCAAATTTATGTAGCGCTTTTTTAGCTCCAGAAAGTTTTAGTTGTATTTGGTATATATAAGCCAAAACTTAAGCGTTGATAAAATGGAAAATTTCGAGATGCAGTGTATCCACCATAAACTCTTGGATCTAGGTTGAAAAATTCAAAAACAAATTAAAAGAAAATCCTTTTTCTGATAGCGCGGATTTTGTTTTACCTTACTAATTTTACCTTTGAGGGGAGCCATTTTACTTTCCAGAAAAATTTAGCGAAAAAATTATTCAATTCAAATATCTGAAATCACAGACTAACAGTTTGTAAAGTATTTTTAGTTCACTGTTATAATTGCCATAGCAACTAATTCGAAATATATGCACCTTATTTTGGTTTTCAAAGATTTTTTCAGCACTTAAACTTATAAAATTCGTTGTTTTTATTAAAATTGCCGAAAATGTAAAACAACCTTACGTCAATAAATGCTCAACCTTAACAAAAATATGTAGCTCTTCATTTTAGCTCTTTTTAGCTCCTTTTTTCGACCGTTTTAGCTCCAAACGAAATTTTCTCTGGCAACACTGCCTACAGCCCGCCACAAAAAATTATTATTCTTTGTTTTTGCAAAACACTGAATAAATTACGGAAGAACACATACACATGTTATTACACTATGTAAACCATTTAATTTCAGTTGACACTATTGTAAATTGAAATGAAATAGTGAAATTTGCTTCGCCACTGCAATACAAAATCGTGTTGATTCGCCGGTAACTGCCGCTCTCCACAGGATAAAGTTTATAAGTATCTTGATACATATGTTAGAATATAAATATCCAATGGAGACCGTTCATTGCTCTTCAAGAGCAATATATATCAGGGCTTATATCTTACTATCTATTGCCGGCAATTTAGTAGTTTGACAGCTACATTTTCATTTGCACGAAAACTTCTTGGTGGCAACATTATTGATATTTTAATATCAAAGCAAAAATTGAGCTGGGTTCGAATCGTCACATACAATATCGTACTACTCGTCATGGAAAAACACTTTTTTCGGATTATGACATAGGTGAACGTACTCTTTGTCCCATTCACCTTATACTGCTTGACGTATCTCGTAATTTCCTTTCGTATCATTTTCAATCCGTGAACGGATGTTACGATTCGAGCCCTGTTTTCTATTAAGATATTTGTTATTGTGTAGTTGGAAGTAAAATAGTCTATTTTCCAAATTTTTAAGCGATTAAATCCGGCCAAAATACCTTTTAGAAGCCATCTAACCAATGCTTATATCAAGATATAAAAAGCCCACACAAATATCGCCACTGACATAACTTATATTTAGCATCCAAAATGACAGCTGGACAGCAATAAATTTTATCCTCTGGAGACGGCCAGTAAAGCAATGTTGTAGTGTGCTTGTGATGAAAGAGAACAGTCATTTCGGCGCTCTCATAAAATCGAGCACAGGTAAAAAGAGAACACTTCAATTGTGTACACTATGAAGACTATGCAAGCAAAATGTTTTGCGCTCCACGTTTAGTACCTTTACGTACCCAAATCACTAATTAGTTTTTTAAGGGGAAAACCATTTTTGATTATGTACTTGGATGTGAAATTACACATTTTCTAAAATTTGTTAAGCAGACGAACATGCTTATTTTAAGTCATCTTACAAAATCTTTTATCGAGATAAAAAATCCTCATACACAAATATTGCCACCGATAAAACTTACACATATCTGGCAAACAAAATTACATATGGTAGGCAATAATTTTCGCCTGTGGAGACGCGTCGTTAGCTAGTCTTTCAGTGTTGTAAAGGGTAAAGCTGAAAACAGTCTGCAGAATTTTGTCCATTACTGGAGCCCTCAGTGTTGCTTACTACAGTGTTGCCACTCATCAATGCCTTTTCATTAACTTGCCTTTTCAACTACAATTTTTCGTGTTATAGTAGATCGTAGCTTTCAACAAAAAACCTTATTCAATAGTAAATTTCAAATATTTTAAACGTATTTTGAATAGGAAATTATAACTTTTTTACCATCTGCAAAACTGGCGAAGTGGCACCTATCTGTAGAAGGAAGAAATCAGCTGACACGGAAAAATCTAAATTCCGCAGATTTCTGCGCTACAGGCTACAACTACAGAAAAATTCTGCGGTGTTGAGTTTTCATTTACATGACGCTTTGGACAGATCGTGTCAGCTGACTCGGGTTTACGTACCGGTAGGTTTACGTTCTTGACTAATTTCAGCTTAAAATATTATCGATTACGGCTAAAAGGCGTTTACACTGTGCAACCAAAGAACGTAGATAACAAGAAGGGACAACTCGTTATAATTGTGGCGAAAGTGCGCAACAGGGGCGTGCCTTCTCTTTTCATCCAATCAGAAAACGCACTAGGGCAAAAGAGGAGGCACACCCTGTTGCGCACTTTCGCTACAATTATAACGAGTTGTCCGTTCTTGTTATCTACTATCTTTGGTTCAACTTACACCGGCGATTAGTTGAATCAAAAGTTTACATAATTTAACTGAAAGTTGAACAGTGTAAACGCCTTTTTAAATACAATGATTGTGTACGATTAGGAAATAATAATATTTTGAACGAAATTTTTTGAAAATTTCATCACTGCTGTAAAACTCGAAAAGGAGGACAGAGAAGGACAAAATTTTTGAGGAGGGCGAATCACGTTTAAGGAGACAATCCTTCTCAAAGGAGGACGGTTGGTCAGCTTACTAAATAGCACAGAAATCTTTGTCCTTGATTGTAGTTGGGCTGACAAATGAAAAAGTGGAAAACGCAAAAGCAGTTTACATGGCGAACTTAGCTCAGTTGGTAGACCACTGGCTTTCTATACCGGAGTTGCTGGTTCAAGTCCCAGCGAAGTCGATGAAGAAGTCCGATGTTGTGTTTGTAACAGCATACATATTCCCCAGAGTTTTTGGAGAGCGATGCTGAAGTGACAGTCCTTGGCCTGATATAAATCTGTGTCGACCCGACTGTCGTCAGAAATGATGAAATGTGATCTTCGAAATGGCAGCTATAACTCCTACCAGCATCTTTCGTTAAAAGCTACCTCAAGCTTAATAGAATTTTGTATATGTGACCTGGTCTACGAAAAGGGAGCTTACGTGCGAAAACTAGTTTTCTGTGAAAAAGCTGTTAAAAGTAAGCAACTCGTTTCGTCAGTTTCTCATTATCTCGTTAATTGTTCTCCGCGCCGGACGTCCAGTAAGTGTTGTTGTTGGTCGGAATATTATTATAGTTTTATTATTATTATTAATATTATTATTATTTTTAGTACACTTCTAAGCAAGTTAGGATTTTCTGCTTTTCACCACGTGAAAAAGCATCTCATCTTCCATCCGAATCAACCAAAAAGTGAAAATTGATTTTTTGACACCTAAGCCCCCTTTCCGTAGACCAGGTCACATATGTATATGTAATTGTTATTAGGCCACTAATACCAAAAAATTAACACTTTTACTATTTTTCATAGGCCATACTACTGCTAATCTTATCATTAGAGATAACTTTTAATTTTGGTTTCCTTCCAGATGCTTACAGCAATGGAAAGACCTGGCACGCCGCTCCGAGACTCTCCGTGAAGAAGTGAACATTGCCATAGTCGGTAAATATACACGCCTGGAAGACTCCTATGCATCAGTGGTGAAGGCACTTCAACATGCATCTCTAGCTGCGGGTTTTAAATTGAATTTAAAGTTCATTGAGGCTTGCCACCTGGAGAGTGGGACGCGGGACAAAGACCCTACCAAATACCATGAGGCTTGGATGCAACTTTGTGATAGTGATGGTGTTGTGGTGCCAGGTGGATTTGGTTCGCGTGGCATGGAAGGAAAAATTGTTGCATGCAATTGGTGCCGTGAAAAACAAAAGCCAATGCTAGGTATTTGCCTAGGCCTCCAAGCAGCCGTTATTGAATTCGCACGCAATGTGCTCGGTCTAAAGGATGCTAATACTACAGAAATTGATCCGAAAACCGGTAATCCGCTAGTAATTGATATGCCAGAGCATCACACTGGCCAAATGGGTGGAACTATGCGTCTAGGTAGACGTACAACCATTTTCTCTGATGAGAATAGCGTTATCAAAATGCTTTACGGAAACCCGAAAACAGTCGATGAACGACACCGCCATCGGTATGAAGTAAATCCTAAGTATGTGTCCACATTGGAGGAACACGGCATGCGCTTTGTGGGCTATGATGACGAGAAAAGACGTATGGAGATTGTTGAGCTGCGTGATCATCCATATTTCGTTGCTACACAGTATCATCCAGAATACTTGTCACGGCCACTTAAACCCTCTCCACCATTCCTTGGCTTAATATTGGCGTCGAAGAAGCGTTTAACCAGCTATTTGGCGCGTGGCTGTCGTCTATCGCCACGCCAGCTTTCCGATGCCTCATCTGACGAGGATATATCTGCTGAGGAATGTGAAAGACTCGTAAACGCTGTTAAGCCATTGCAGTTAAATGGACATTTATCGCCTGTAAATCCTACGCGTCTTCAGAATGGTCGCTCTAAGAATTTTCAGTCGAATATCGAGGGGAAAACCATAGTGGACACTGGACTGAATGGTGAAAAACCAAATGGGGATATTAAAATAAACTCAACAACGGAAAACGAGGGCAATGGAGATGCACATTAAATACCAATAAGGCCGGACTTCCCTGAAATACTTTGAATTAGATAGTGAAACTTTAAATGGTGAATTATATTAGATTTTTTTCTATTAGAGCACATCGTCACCTGAAATGGAAAAAGACGTAACAACATCGTAACTGAAATGGAAAAAGTCGTGACTTAAATTTTTTTTTTTATTAAATGATGGAGTTTTAATTCGATGAAATCCATCATATTTATCAAAAACTGAATTTTGGATTTTTTATTAGCTACGACTTTTTGAATTTCAGCGACGATGTTTGTTATGTCTTCTTGCATTTCAGGTGACGATATTCAATTTCTTATATACTATAGTTATATACATACATATTCTTCGAAATGTCAAATTATTTTTATTTGATTTAGTAGTACATATTCAATTAAATACTAAAATACTTAGCACTCCGCAACACATTTGCGTGCGTTTATTTATTTTGTTTTCCTGGTGTGAGTGTATTGTGGTGGGATAATTTATTCAAAAATGTATATCTATCTAGGCACTTGCTCTCTCCATTTTTTTTTGGATGCGAACTGTCAAATCGCTTCTAGTGCAATAATTAGTCACTGCCACTTAAAACGCTCACACTAGTGAGCAAAATAACGCCCTCAAATATATTTTTAAATTGTAAGTATCCTTTGAATATTTGATTAAATGCTGACAATTCTCAAATATTGATCTTATTTGTAAACTGTCTACATACTAACATATGTACAAGAATTACAACTTATATTTATATGCCTAATTTTGTAGTTAATATAATTAGCGTTCATTTATATGCATTATTGTCTGGGCATGGACCATCTAACTTGATTTGAACTCTTAAGCAGGGCTATTTTTTTGTTGTGAAGCTCAGCTCAGTCTTTAATATTGTTTATGCTTATTGTACATACATAACAATTGTTTCATTTTGCATATAATACGAGTTTTCAGATAAACAGTACACATATTTTTTGTAGCTAATGTGTCGTTCGATATTCGAAAGTACAAATGTTTATCTCAGAAATCTACTTCGACTGTTTAAAATTTAAAATGCAATAAATTGCTTTCAAACTGTTATTTGTAGTAAATTTAGTTAGGCTGTATGGTCGCAATCGTTTAATTATATAAATTTTGATTATTAAATATTTTATTTTAGTTCCTATTAATGCATATCTGCATTCACAATTGTAAAGTTGAATAATTAATAAACATAACAGTTTTAAGGTATAAGGAATTAAATATGTGGAAAGTATGGGTTAATTCCAAAACGTCAAAATACAAAGCATCAGTCTCTTTTATTTCTAAAACGCACTAGAAGAAAACATCTAACGACAGTCGGGTCTACGTAACCGGAACGACCCAGATTTATATCTGGCCAAGGACTGTCACTCCAGCAACGCTCCCCAAAATCTCTTTGGGGAATTTACGTGCTGTTACAACAACAAGAACATAACATATAACTTGCGAAACCTAGTTGGAAACTAGCATCAAACCGTGGTTGCGCACATTTGACATTACAATCTACTGGGGTTTGGAAGTAAAAGAGACTGATGCTTTGTATTTTGACGTTATGGAAAGCAGCCTATGCCAGTTAATTATAAAACCAGTTTTTACACACTAATGAAATGCTTCCTGTACACCCGATATGGCAAGAGTAATAATTGTAAATAACTGAAACAGTTTGGTATTTAATTTTGTTATTCATATTTCCAAATTTATTGATACATTTTATTTATGTAAGTTGTAACTGGAACTTATTATTAATACTAGATTCTATATTCATTATTAGGTAATTAACTAGTACTTCTTAGGAGTAATAATAAATTCGTTTTTTCTTTGGTTGCATGATTCGCACATGCGAAGTAAAAATCAGCGTCCAAATTAAAGACTAATTTCATTAAGTATTTAAGAAATTTTATATTACAAATATGTATGTACATATTTATTTAGTATTGTGTATATCGGCAGAGAATTCGTAATAAAAAGAAACTGAACGAAGGAAATTAATGGAATTTATTATTAAAGACGTTTTGAATAGATTACAGTTACTTAAGCCAGATTCTTTTGAAGATGAAAATATTAGTTGTGATCCCGTTTGAGTCCGAACTTACCATTTTTTACCAGAATTTCCCAGATTTTACTGGAAATTGATCCCGTACTCGGTTCTCTGGCAACTGAGAGGACAAATAAGAGAGTAAATAAGGCCCGCAGTTCAGTGATTGGACTTCTACCACATTGTGGTAGATCTGCCACTTTTTTGAGCATATACCATATATACCACACAAGGTCTGAAATCTACCACATTCGCGTTTTTGAGTAGTTTTATTTTTGCTCGACATAATTTTCTTAATTCTTAAGAGCAAAAATTGTCCAACACTAAACACCAACAACAAAGCCGAATGGGAGGATAAAATAAACTGTAAATAGTAAATTTTCTCAATAATCAATTTTTCGACAGGAAACGTGGTTTTATTGTGTTAAATTGCAAAATATATGATTTATAAAAAGAATTAATAGCGATTCTTGTGAAAGTATTAGCAAATTTCAGTGCGTCTAAAGTTCCTAAGACGTTTTTTACTTTTTCCTGGGGATTTGTAAAATCGGCAAATCCCACGTAGCGGTTGCTGGAACGTGTCACATTTGTTCGGTACATCGAGATGTGATAAAAAGTAACGCTGGCAGCACTCCGAACGGTTGCAGAAATCTCTCAAAATATGTTCGAAAAATATCTTGATATAGAAGCAACTGCTTTACACTGTCAAGGAAAAAAATTGCCAAAACTAGGCGCAGTTTTTTGCAACTCCAATCTTGCACTTTTTTTATTCTAATTAAAATGTTTACAATTTAGGTGAAACCCTGCAGAATTTTTTAAATTTTTGTACTAAATTTGATCCAAAACCTGAGATCTACCAATTTTTTTTTTAAATCTACCACATTTTTTTCCAGATTCTACCACACACATTTTTTTTAAAGTCCGATCACTGCCGCAGTTGCCTTGCCAGGCCACAACCTACGCACTGGTACGCAGACCGTTGGAGTGTCAGCGCCGGTGTTGTTGGTGCCCGATAAATTGGCGTCGGCCCGATAAATCTATAAGCGAATTAGGTGCTTTAGCGGTCACCACCACGGCGCACAGAAACAACACCATGGACTTGGCCATTGCCATAATACGCAAAAAAGAGAAAAAAGGTGATACCCCTACTACTGTCTTTCGCCTAATCTCTCATTCCTAGATTCTAATGGTCTGATTATGCATACTTCGCATAACTTCGCACATCTTCGCATAAACTTCAAACTGTAATTTCGTATGTACTTTGTGTGTATTTTGTATGTATTCCATTACCCAGAAATTAGCAGAACTTTTAAAAACTTAGCGATCTGTTGAGTTTAGATTTTGCTTCACATTTTCTTAAGTTACACTTTTTGTGCTCTGGTACAAATGGTTGTGCGAAGTTATGCGAAGTATGCATAATCAGACCCTTACTATTGATCGGCACCGTTTTTCCCCGTTGGGGTGGCGCTCCACCGACAAACACCTGCTTCGCTCAACTAGAGCTCATACTACCTCTTACGCAGGTCCATACATACACATATCACTCATTTACTTCAGTAGTGTCATAATCCAAAAATTACAAATATTGAGTTATGTAAGTACCCAGAAAATACCGCTGGTTCATATGTAGCCCACTAGAACAAAATAAGTATTCATTTTTATTATGGGAGTACATACAGTATATTTTGCTTAGCTGCACATCCATCTCGGTACGAAAAACTTGTGCACTTAACCGAGAAAGGTACTTAAGCGAATTTTCTTTACTACTTCAATGAGGAAGGTACCCGAATCCCTATGAAACCAAGTAATGGAGGAGCACTTACCACGTAGATATTACTGCAAGCGAAATTTTTACCGAATGGTATCTTACTATCTATATAACTACATAAATTGATAGCCATTTTCGTTGTTCTGCGAGATGAGCAAAATAAATAAAAGCTTGTAAAATTAGGTAATTGTAGGGCCAGTGCAGGTAAACGTAATACTTTCTTTGATAATTGATACTAGTTGCACAATTTTTAAGGCAGGTATCGCCAATGTGCAGGTATGTTGAATGCATCTATCGGAGCAGTTTCCTTACAAATGTTACAAATAACGCCTCTGATGCGCATTTTGGGGTAGGTATCTTAAAGGTGCATTTAAGCATAAAGGCAGCAAAGCAAAATATACTGTATATGTAAATTCAAAACTTTAAAGTCATTTTCTTGAGTTTATTTTTTATTTTTAGTTATGACACTATTGAAGTAAATTAGCGATATGTGTGCACAATTGAGTGTCGATTAACTTCACTCCTATCGGTTGGAGTGAAAGGAAATAGGTAAATAGAACGAAGGGGAAACCAAAGTTCTGCCAGTACGCGACAAAATCTGTAATGTTTTTGCGCTGAATTAAATTCCGAAAGGCCATTTCGAATTTCAGAGAACGTAAAGAACACATACGCAAATTATAGGTTACGTTCTTTGAGCTTTTTTTTTAGTGCAGCCAAAAACTTTTCTTCCATCTTAAAAAGGATGTGCATCGAGGACACAAACCTCTACATTATACCGCAACACTTGTTTCACAAGCATGCGTACGGATTCATGTTGCTAACTACACAGAGAAAAAAAAATACCTAATAAGAGAAAACTACTTACTTTTGTATATACATGGGCAATTCTAAATTAGTTCGGACTTTCGCATGACTCGCCAGTTTTTATTCGGACACAAAATTTTCGCTGGTTTATTATCAAAAATCAGGTTACATATGTTGTGTAGATTATGTAAATGCAAAAAAAGCACCACCGTACATATTTTCTAGCCAAATATGCATATATTTCAGAAATCAAATAGGGAAATTTTCACAAATAAAAGTGTGACTCTCTTATAATTTTTTATTTATTTTTACGATGCAAAAATTGGTGCGTTGGTTGCTCATGTTTCAGTTTATAATTAACTGGTAGTATTTGTAGAGGAGAATCGAATGCAGCTCGTTAGAAGTATAGTAGTAGTTCTGAACTAGCGCGATTTACTGCAGGGTACCTTCACCGATTCAAACACGAACCGGAACCCATAGGCGACTATTGCGGAGGATTTGCGATTTGACAGTGCCAGATGC